TTTAATTATTTGAAACTTTGTTACTATCAGAAAACTCTATATATTTTTAGTAGAAATAGGTTGATAAGCTACCGTGTATAAAGAATTTTAAATAATAAATAATAATAATAATAAATACCTTTGCCAGGCTATTCGCGATTGGCCAGAAAAGATCAATCGACGTGCAACAAATGCTGTCCTTTTGCCTAGGTCCTTACCCTCTATCATTAGCAACCGTTACTGGAGGTATTTGCAAAACGACTAAAGCAAGGTTACTTCAATCATTCCAATCTGAATTCCCTGATTGCATTGTTGATAATTTTCCTGATGCCAGTTGCGTTCTTATTGATGCAATGGCGGTTCTTCAATCCACAGTCCTCGTGCACGAAACCTACGGAGAACTTGCTGAAGACATTCTTGTTAGAGTACTAGCTGTAGCCCGCAAGTTCAAGGCGTCCCGTATGGACTTCGTGAGTGATCGTTATCCAGCGCAAAGCATAAAAATGCAGAGAGAGAGAAGAGAGGGACTCAGGGCGAATGCAGCGTTCGTATTTATGCAAAAGATCAGAAAGTTTTCAAACCCTGGTTTACTTCTTGCTGGACACATGCTCGAACATGGAGGGGCGCCAATTGGGTGAACTTGAACTATTCGTCACATCTGGATCCAACTGCACAAAGTTGTCGAGCACAGCCGAAATTCTACACCATGTTATGGTCATCCAATTATCAGACTGTGAACATGAAGCAGCTGACACGAGGCTGATGCTCCATGCGGCACATGCAGCAAATTGCGGTCACCAAACCATTGTTATCAAGTCGCCAGACACGGATGTCTTCATTTTGGAACTGTACTCAAAGATTTCTCTTCCAGAAACGTCATTGTTTCTTTACACTGGCTCTAGTGAACACAGTAGAATATTATTGCTTGATGTAATTTCATCTTCAATACCGCCCGAGCTTAGTTCTTCATTTAGGTTGCGACTATACAGCTCGTTGTTTGGGAAGGGAAAAGCGGAGGCCCTTAAACTAGCTCAATCAAATGAACATTTTCTGCAGGCGTTTTCAGAGTTGGGATCCACGGAAGAGGCTGATCATAAAGCTGTCACCACACTTGACAAATTTACGTGTTCTCTCTTTGGTGATTCGAAAGCTCAGACCGTGAATGACGCGCGTTATAACCTATTCACACAGGGAAAATTTGGTGAATATTGTTTGCCTCCCAATAAAGATGCCCTTGCTTTGCATATCGACCGCTGTAACTACGTCTCATTCATCTGGCGCCGTTGTCTGAATCAAGAGATCGGAGATCCTGACTTTAGGAATCATGGTTGGGAAGTGGACGAAAGTGGCAAAGTAAGCGTGAAATGGTTATCTGGTCTACCCGCGATGGACAACATTCTCAAATCCTCCAGCTGTAAGTGCAAAACCGGTTGTAAGACCATACGATGTGGTTGCAAGAAAGAAGACTTGGAATGCACAGAGCTGTGCTTCTGCTGTGATTGCCAAAATCAGAAATATTCCAATGCAGATGAAAATGACGATGATTTTTACCAAGAGGACTTTGAAATTGACGATATTGACATCGAATGATTGACATAAAACATAATCAAATCATAAGACATAAATCATAATTAAGTCAATAAGACACATAATCAAATCGTTTGTACCGATAAGAAATAATTTGTTACATTATTGTGTTTCAATTTTTCATACAAATGATATATATAATTTTACCTTTCTTTAATACATACGTGTTGGGCTAATATTGTGTGTAATTTAGCATTGTATCTGAATTGAAAACTTTGTGCATGAAGAAATTACATAGATTTCTTTCAGAATGGTATCAGCAAACTGCGAAAATAGTAAGATTAAAAAAAAATTCGAAACATTAAAAAAACTAGTAAGAAGATAAAAACCTTACTAATTTGATCTTTATTTTGAACAAACTTTTGATTGATGTTAATTAACATGTTTATGAAAACAAATGCTTGACGTCCACACTGCGCTTAATTCCGTTGAGGGATAAATATGCCTTCCTTTGATACGCATAGTGGAACGCCTAATTCAAGGTATTATTAAGACGGAAATTAACATTTTACGTCTTTCCCCAGGAGACAGTCTCTCTACACGAGATTTACTGTGTTGTGTAAAGCGGGGTTCGATATGTGTACTGAGCAGGAGAAAATGGACTGCAATCGACGAATTTTATCAGTCTTTAATGAAAACATAAAACTACTAAAACATGTGTTCGTACAATGTTGATAACCATTTGGCGGGCGAGACGCGCTCGCGATCTCAATGTATATTGCAATGTTTACTTAGTGTAAGAGTCCATGACATCCTCCGGGGGGGGAGAGGTGTTCAATATGTTTGTCCATTCATATACTTTCTTTAACGCGTTATTGGCTGCAGTTCGTTTACTTCTGATCTCTGGTCTCTATGGTGCTACGCCTTCCGGTTTTATGTTCTGTTTTGAACATGATATCTGCTCGCACTTCAAGGGGATATAATTTCGCGATGGGTCTGTTTGTCTGGCCTGTTGAGGTACGTAAGTTTGCTGCTCGGATAAGGCCGTCGTTTCCGGTAATAAGATCTTCTATCACAGCAAGTTTCCATTTTATTCCTGGACTATCGTCGTGGATCAAGACTACTTCTCCGACATGGATGGTTTGGTTGTTCTTTCCAGTCGTTTTATGAAACTCTCGAAGAGAAGTAAGGTATTCAGCTATCCATCGTGACCAAAAATATTGGCGGATAAGTGCTTGTATTTGGGCTCTTCTTGTTATTTCCGAGATGTTTCCAAAGTTCGGATCGTTGATTTCGTCATCTTCCACAATCGGCTGGGGAAGGGAGGTGATACGTCGTCCGTACAATAAATGAGAGGGTGTGAGGGATTCTTCGTCTTCGATATCGCTGGATACGTACGTAAGTGGTCGATCATTTAGTACCGCCTCAATTTCGACAATGATCGTCTGAAGACTTTAAAGAGTAACATGGGCACGTTCTAATATTTTCTTTAGAACTGTCTTTGTGGGATCGATGAGTCTTTCCCAAAACCCGCCATACAACGGGGCTCGCTTTGGGATAAAGTGCCACTCTACTCCTCGTCGATTAAATGCTTCCTTTAGCGATGTGGATTGAAAGAGACGTTTGAGTTCCTCCGCCTCCCGAGAGATATGTTGAACCATTGTCGGAAACCATCTTTCGTGGTAGGGATTTTCGACTTTCGAATCTGAGAAAGGCTTTCAGGAATGTTTCTTCACTTAGATCTTCAACGACTTATAAATGCAGGGCTCGTGTAGCCGCACACGTAAATAGACAAATGTAAACCTTTTCTTCTTTGGTTAGTGTTTTCACGAAAAGTGCACCTGTGTAGTCTACGCCAGTGACTGAAAACGGTGTTGAGTCTTGAACTCGCCATTTAGGTAAAGTTGCTGGATCTGGGACTGTATAGGGTTTGCCACTTTGTTTTTGGCACACGACACATTTGCGCAGCAGTTTCTTGATAACTTGTCTGGCTCGTGGGATCCAGAATCTGTCACGAAGGGCAGTTAAAGTTGAATTTACACCAGAATATAGTTGGGCAGTGTGAATTTAGTGGATGATCAAGGTGGTGAAAGGGTGATGTACAGGTAGCAAAATGGGGAACTTGGCTGATTGGTTGATGGGAGCGTTGTGGATTCGTCCGCCACAGCGGATGATGTGGTGTTGGTCAAGGAATAATCGTAGCTGTTTTACTAATGGTAGGCGCGAACTGTTCTTTGTGGTTAGGTTAACAAGCTCTGCAGGGTAGGTTGTGTGTTGGCAACACTGTATCCAAAGGTTTTCGGCTGCATTGGTCTCATTAACAGTTAGTGTCCCAGTTCGCTCAGGAGTTCGCTTGATGAGGCTGTTGATGAATCTGAGAACATAGGCGGTAACGTGGATAAAGGTAGTCAGACTGCTGTATCTCGATATATCAATAACGTTATGTATACCGGTGTCACCTGAAAAGCTTAGGGTTGACGGTCTTCCATTTGGATTGATTCGTTTTCTCGTACTTGCTGATCGGCTTCGACTAGTAGTGTAGTTGTTGGTGTCCGGGCAGGCCATTTTACAGCAGGTGAGGTGAGCTACGATGGTCCATTGTTCGATAACGTTGATGAATGCATCTGGGTCGTAGTGAAACCGTGTGTTAGGAAGGCAGCGGGATTCTCATTTGTTGGGCAGTAGTGCCAGATGTTGGAAGGAAATAAATCTTTGATAGATCTTACACGGTTTGCAACGAATTGTTTGAGTTGTTTATTGCTACTTAGCCAATGTAATACGATTTGGCTATCGGACAATAGGTAAACTTCTAGGGCGTTATAACGATTCTTGATTGCGTTGTGAATAAATGAGGCTAGTCGCGCACCAACTAAGGCTACCATAAGTTCTAATTGGGGCATTATCAATGTTTTGATGGGAGCAACGCGAGTTTTTTCCATAACAAATACAACTTGAGAATGTTGTTGAACGTATGCCACTGCACCGTAGCCTAGTTTACTCGCATCAACAAAAACATGGAGTTGTGGTGTGTTCTGGGAAATCGTGGGCGTTAAATGGTATCGACGTGGTATAATGGTTTGCTGAGCTGCAAACAAATCTACAGCTAATTTGAGCCATTCTTGTTGAAGTTGTTCGTTGAGGGGTTCATCCCAATCGATCGATTGTTGCCACAGTTGTTGCATGACAATCTTGACTCTGATTGTTACAGGAGCTATTATCCCAAGGGGATCGAAAATGCTGGAGGAGTGTTGCAGAACTTCGCGTTTAGTGATCAGTTCGTGCATGTTAGGTATGGATTTCTTGGTTGCAAAATGAATGGTGTCAGAGGATGTGTTCCATCGTACGCCGAGAACATTGACATCAGTCTCTGGAGTTGTGTCAACTGTTTCATCTTTAGTTGCTTCCTGCTGAAGTGTCGGACTATTTGAGGCCCATGAACGTAGGTTGAACTTAGCTTCAGTCATAATCGATCTTGATTCGTCATAGTATTGGGAGGCATTTAATTCGGTATCAGCACCAGACAGAATATTGTCCACGTACATGTTGTCCTTCATGTCGCGTGCAACGGGGGTTGAAAATCGCTCGAGGTGTTTTTGAAGGGTGGCATTTAACATGAATGGTGAACTGGTGGTGCCAAAGGGAACTCCTTTGAAACGGTAAGTGTCGAAGGGACTATCTGGATCGTTTGGGTCTGACAACCACAGGAATCGGGTAAAATCTCTATCACATTCATGAAGATGTAAGTGGTGAAAGGCTTTTTCGATATCGATCGGTATGCCGTAGTTGTAGGTGCGAAAACTAAGCAGAATAGCCGTCATGTCATTTAGCAAAGGTGGACCTGCTTGGAGACAATCGTTAAGACTTGTTTGGTTTTGTGACTGGCGACAACTGGAGTCGTAGACTATTCGGATGGGGGTGGAGACCGAAATCTTCCGTACTGGATGGTGCGGGATGTAATGTGAGTTGCTAGTTGGTGTAGAGTCTGGAATCTTCTCAATAAATCCTTTTTCTAATTGATCATTGATAATTGTTCCGTAAGTCTGTAACAATTCCGGACTGCGGCTTAATCTTTGTACGGTTGATCTGGTACGTTTCTGGCAAATAGAAAGGTTCGAAGGCAATGCTGGATGATTGTCTTTCCACGGAAATTTCGCAGTGTAGCTACCGTCATCCTCACGAGAAATGGCAGATTGTTGGTACTCACGCGAGAGGCTACGTTCATCGTTGTTGGTAGTTGGTCCGGTGATGCCTAAGGTCTCGAGGGACCAAAATTTTTCAAGTTGTTGATCTTCTTCGTAGTGGGAAATCATGACGTTAAGGATGTTGGTGGGAGTTCTGTCACCCGCTGGCAATTTGATGGGTCCAGACAAAAGGTATCCTAACTTTGATTGCATTGCTGTGGGACCATTTCCCCGAATGATATAGTCTTCAACAAATCCCAGTAGTGATCTGCACCTATTAATAGGGAAATCTCAAAGTTCTCGTCGCTGGTGACTGGGTGGGCGAGCTTGAGCTGTCGAAGGTAGGGAAGATCATTGATAGGGGCTCTAACCTTATTCTGAATTGGGGTGGCAATCTTAGGTACAATAAGAACTTGGATAGGAATACTTCCAGATGATTCCGTTTCAATGTTGATGGTGGCAACATCGAGGTTTCTCTTTGTTGCTGCGCTTGCTCCGAATGCTGAAAGGTTAATAGTTTCTTTCGTGGTGGGGCGAAGACAGAGTTTCGTGGCTAGAGACTGTGCTATAAAGGAGCGTTGAGCACCTTCGTCAAAGAGTAGGTTGTCTTCTGCACGAGTGGTTGCTGAGCTAATGGTGGTTATGGCAGTTTTTAGTAGGGATGTTTGGGTCTCATGTTTCACTTGCTTGGAAGTTGTAGGAGTTGACTGGGTGGGTGTCAATGTAGCAAGAACTGGTGGATCCTTATGTTGCTGATTTTCACCTTTACAAAGACTTGCGTGATGCTTACGATTACAACTCTTACATCTGTTTTTCGAACGACACTGTGAGGCTTTGTGATGTTCGAGACAGTTAAAGCATAGGTTAGCTTTCTTAACAATATCATACCGCTGCTGGGGGTCGGTAACAACTTTGCATGCATTAGATGCGTGACCTTGTTGGCAGTATGTACACTTAGGGGTCAGTTGCCTGTTACGAGGTGGTGTGGGTGGGGGTGCAGATGACCGCATGCCTTCTGCATGAGTGTGGAATGATGATGTAACTGATGATGTTGCTTGGTGGTTTTCTCTTGTGCTCGAGTTAGTAAATTGCCCTGCTTCTAGAATTCTCAATTCCTTGCGTATAGCATTTCTAAGCTGGTCAATTGTCCAGTCTAGAGTCCCCATGCTCCCGAGCTAAATTTTTTTCCGAATTCTGTTGCTAGTTTCCCAAATACGATTGGAATTAATAGGTCACCGTATGATTCTTGGCTTTTTCCAAGACATACAAGTCCTCGAATGTGGGTTTCTAAGATGTCATAGAAGCTTCGAAAACTGTCCAGATGTTCACTTGGTGGGGGAATTTCTAAGAGAGCCTGCATGTGTGCATTTACGATCTTGTGAGGTTGTCCAAATCTATCTCCACAGGCCATATCGCGTCGATCCTGAGCGATCGACGGCTATAAAATTTTATACCTTCGGTTCAGTGCATGCTATGAAGACAGAAATACCACCAATCGATTCAGAAATAAAAGATAGACTAGTTCCAAACGATAGTTATAGTCATTATTAACATTGTAACGATTTATGGGCCTTTGAAAGTCAAACACGATAATATTGTATCAAATTACGCAATTGTCTGAACAAAATATAGACTAGCCATACCTTTCGCTGAAAATAACTTCGGCCCCTTCGCACATATCGTCTTTGTTATAGTCTTGTTCGAATCCCCATCAAAAACACTATTTAGAGTGTTATTTGTAAGCCTGTATCTTCAAATCTGTATCTTTTATCAATATATTTCCATTTCTTGTCCGACTGTGAGCTCGAAGTGAGTTAATCCCAACCGGAAATACGTCTGAAAACCGTCAAAACAATGCGACGTTTGTATCATATGACCCTGGAAAGGCCAGAAATGGATTCGCAAGGTCAAATTGCACCTACACGCGTGAGTTTGACGTCATACCGGCCAACAGGAGCTTCTTATTGGCCAATTATTGCGCAATGTTCGCAAGTGCGAGTAAAACGTACTAAAACCCGATACCTTGAAAAATTCAAAATAAATATTTCTAGTCGGCGTATACATACCAAACTTTCTACACGAAAGCGCTTGGATACAAAGAGTATTTTACACATATAGCCGTTCAGAAAATGACGAAAAGTTCAAGAGATATTCAAGATCTTGTAGATATAAAATCTAGAATCTTTGGCCAAGCGGGGAGTAAATATATGATTGTTTCGGTTTGTGTAATGCTCTGACGGCACTTGACCCCCCGTTCGAAAGGTTATTTTATTAGGATTTCAATGGTGGCTTTTATTTACAAGGGGGGTAAATACTCGCCGAGATATTTATATTAGAAAAATTGTGTCGTAATCTGATGCGAAAGGGGGTGGTCGAAAAAGAGTTTTTAAGGAGCTTAATGGCTTGATCATAGTTACTGTTAGTGAGGGGAAATCCTGCTATTGTTTGTAGTGCTTCTCCCACAACTTGTGCTTTCAAGTAATTGAATCTTTGTATGCCATTTAATTAACGACGGATTGTTGTGTACTGCTGCATCAAATGAATCCCAAAATGACTGCCACTGAAGGGGGTTACCCGCAAACACAGGAAGACTTAGCTTTGGTAGACGATAAATATTTTGTGGTGGAATACTAGCAGTTGATGGCTGAGGACTAGGTGGTAATGTTAATATATCGTCAGTCGGCAGATTTTGTTGTGTAGGTGGGG